TCCTTGGGAGACTGAAGCACACTCGATTTCGGCAAACCATACATTACAAATAAGCTCAAGGAACTTCATCTCAGTGAAACTTGAATCAAAATTAAAACCAAAATTTTTGGCTGGTATTTGCCTCACAAAAAATCTGGTTTCAGTGTGCACACCATGTGAGCCTTTCAGTGAATTCCTGAAACTCAGTTCGGTGACAGGACAGAAAAGTCATATTAATTTCCCTGGTAGCTACAATAAAGACAAACCTTTACCCAATTCTCCCTAGTCTTTGGTGTACAAATAGAAGTGAAAAGATGGATACAAAAAGTTGGGGAAGAGTAAAAATTGAATTATCAATAAGGCTTTGGTTTATGGACGATTCCTGCATCCCAGCTGTGGCCTGGTGTTCTTTCTGGACACGGTGGCTCTAACCGATACCTCTGTGATAAGGTCGGTGTGAGCTGCTCAGGAATTTCAAGGGGACACAACCGTCCCCAGCCGGCCACGCAGCGTCGCGTGTGGCTGCAGGGTTCAACAGAGCAGCCTCACTGCAGGCTTTATCAAAGCAAGGGACACGCAGACGCTGCAGACTTGATTTACTGCTGCAAATGGGCGCAGGAGGGAGCAGGGACAGCGGCAGCCTTGAGGTAACCCCGTTACCGCGGCCTCGCCGACGCCGCTGGCGGAACCAGCACGAGACGCTGCCCTGGCCACACGGGGAGGACTTGGAGGATCTTCAGTAATGGGCTTTAGTCAAGCAGGCAAATTCAAATCTAAGCAGCAACTTTTGCAATCTCAGACAGAAATTTTGATTCATTTCAGCTACTGAACTTTATTACGCGTGCCAGAAAATATATTTTTAGCACTGCAATCCAAAATGCATGTATTACTGACATCAGCAATGCTCATCTCCTAAACAGCTCCAAGAGGAGCCGGATTCAGTCCTCTCGCTATCCCGATGGGCACAAGAGGACTTTCCACTTCACCACCACCAATGTAACCAGTGTCACAACTGAAATATGGGGGCCTGAGTACCATCTTCGTCAGACATGCTTTATTACCCCACGATGACAAGGAAATTGCCAGCTTTAATATGTACATCTGGAGATCTTCCAAACCCACTTGGACACAGTCCTGTGCCACATGCTCTAGGTGACCCTCCGTGTGCAGGGGGTTGGACTAGATGATCTCTAGAGGTTCCTTCCAACCTTCAGCATTCTGTGATTCTTTGATCTGGCACGAACATCCTAGGATACAGAACTACCCATTCACAAAATATGAAAATAAAATGGAGAAAAAAAAGAATCCGTTTGCTATCCACCACTTCATATCCATTGCTTTATAAGGAACCTAAGACCTAGGAGTCTACGGACATGCAATTTTATTCTCATCTTTGTGAAGCACATTGCCCCACTCTGACAGAAGTCCCGCTCTAGCGCACATGCGTAATGCCATATTATACTCTTTCATACCCATATTGTGTTTGTGTCATGCATGGAAACCTATGGAGAGTCAGAAAAGGCATTTCTGGGGCCAACTGCAGCTCAGCCACAGACTGGAGATCTTCTCATTTTTCACTTCTTTAAGCTCTAGGATGCTATTTTTCCAGATAAATCTTCTGGCTGTTTAATAATTCATTGCAGCTATTTGTACACAGCTCCTATCATAAACCCTGAAATAATCAAAATATCTGTCTTGTTAAGTCTGCTTCTTAAACGATTATCCTGAATTTGCACAATATGCTTAATACAGGAGCTTCTTAACAGTACTGTCTTCTTATTTAGCATGCTTTTCACATTAGAATATCTTGACTCTCTTGCGCGGGCAGCTTTTGTTGCTGCTGAGTTTTTTTTATTATTTATTTTAATTCTAGAGCACACTACGAAGAAATGACTGCTATCACTGGGGCAGCCTCCCCTGCACACCTGGTGAGCTAATAAACAGTTGATGCAATTTCAGCAACAAGTGTCATCGCTGAAAGGAAGGAGAGAAAATAATCAGCCAGTCCAACTCTGGAAAAGGAGCCACCTCTCCCCGTGGTGTCACTCAAGGCATCAGCTCTCACGGCTAACAGCTTCTAGAGAAGAGTGACAGATGAAAACCAAGCTGTCCTGAACACCCCAATGATGACAGAAAGCCACTTAGCTAAGTTTTATCCGTGTTGACTAAGGGAATGCTTTGAAGAGCAGCGGAGCATCTCCCAGGCAGCAGGGAGCTCTCCTGGAGCAGAGCACGCCGTGAAAACACACATGTGAGAGCACCCAAAGAAGCTGGAGGGCCTTTCTGGAGAGCAAAAGCCAGAGAAAACAAATCATTCATGAAAGGCAAGTCACAGATGCTGAAACACTCCCTTCTGATCAGCTCCCAGCTGACTGCTACCAGCGGGTAGGTCATTAATTTAGGCACACAAAATATCCGAGAGGGAGCAGAACAAAACAACTGCCAAACAAACCTCTAGGCCATGTGTGTCCCCTAGCACCCAGTGTAAAATGTGACATAAGGTGACACGTTTCCTGCAAGGACATTTGAGCTACGCCATTAATACTGATCGTAAATGCCCACGCTGCAGCCGGTTTCACAGTCTTTCAAACAATCTTCACAGCAGCAAAACCCACTTTCAGTTCACAACACCAGTAACTGCCGTGCAGTTAACTTAATATTACAGCCAGGAGAGGCAGGAAGCATTTCATTCGTATGGCAGCAGGAGGGGAAGCTGCAGGAATCTCTGGGGGTTTGTGGGGCTTTTGAAAACCACCCTGGACAAAAATCTATTAAATGACTGCATGTGCAACAGTGAGAAAGAAGAAATCAAGGAGAACAATTTCTACTGGGGCAGCATGGAATGGTAGGGTGCACAGATGGAAATGATAGATTTCTCTTACTTGACTATTATGTTTCTAGAGTGCAAATAAGTAAATATATCATCAATTATACAGGCATTGTATCAACTGAGTCAGAATACAGAGAAGTGCTACCGTAAGCACTGACTGACTCCACAGAAAAACTTATTCTCAGTGCTGTGAAAGCATCAGCCGCTTCTAAACACACTGCAATAATTTGAAACTAATTATGTTATGGTCTTTTGTGCAAGATTTCCAGTAATTACTTTGCAATAATCTCCTTTTTTAGCTTAGCTAAGCACTTGCATGTAGGCAGACAAGGAAGGGGAGAACCTGTGGAAGGAAGGATTTGGTTTAGGTTTAATTTCACTGATCAAGCTGTTCTGTGAACTAGATCATCTATTGCTTCAATGTAAAGTGCAAGAGTAGCAAGTGTATTTCAAAGCAAATTCTCTCTTTCTGTACTTATTAAATAATGATGAAATGTCAAGAAATATGAGTTACTCTTTCCTATTTTGATACCATAGGGGAAAAAAAAAATCTTATTCCTAGGAAGCAAACTGAGATCTGTACAGGTAAGACACACAGAGACATTGACCTTTGCTGAAGCAATCCTGTGTCGTTTTGCATTTAACTGACTGTGAGAAGGAACACAAGAGGCAGCATTAGGCTGGATTTAGCAAGTTTAAGGAAGGAGCTGTCAATTGAGCAAAACTTCAATTACAAACTAATTTAATGTTACCCAAGTACATTATTGCAATTCAATAAACATGTCTTCAGAATTTAACAATTCCGGTTTGCTTTCATTTCAGCCTGTGCACATGCATCACAAATTTGTTATTATCCACACCAAAATGAGTCAGACTATTTTGGAAGCACTGATCCATGCAATCCCAGTGTGATTTACTGCTGCTTCCAACTAACCTCAAACAACCAACCTTACCTGCTTACTAAATAGAAATAAGAAATAGAGGAAGATTCTTTCAATATAATCCCTTAATTTCTTCTAGGTTGGTGTCCGCCTGTTTTAATAATCCAACAATGAATCCATCAATGATATCCTATGCAAAGGATATCTCTTGTGTTCGTAACTTATTCTGTTGATTTGTCCTTTCTCAAGTTCCCACACAAGAAAGCGTCCAGCACACACCCTACTTTGCACATTCTGGTATTTGCTCCTCTGGAAGGTTGTCTTCCTTCTATTTGGTTGTAATGCAACACTAGATACACCACTACTGGCGACTTGATTCCTTTTCAATCAGGAATTAACTCCTTCCGAGGCAAACAAGACAGAATCAAGATCCTTCAGGGGACATTAAGAGCCCTTGGCACCTCACTGGAACATTTTCCTTGTGATCTGTGCAGCTTGGATACCTACAACACTCAACACTCAGCATTTGAGATCTTGCAAAGGTTTGAATGTCAAATGCCCTAGGAATCCAGTAGCAAGGACGGCAGTGGAAAAAAGCAATCTTGTTTCTACAGCAGCCCTCCACCAATAAAATCATACTCTGTGAGCATCTTCCTTTCACCCAATGTGTAAGATGGGACTGAGGACAAAGCAGGCTCAGGAGTGACTCAGCTGTCTCCCAGATTTCCTTCTGAAGAGGCAGTGAGGGTCCCTGTGACGTAACTGAGGAAGAGTCTGAGAAAGGCAGCACTTTACCCTGTGCCTCATGGTAGTATTCTCTCCTCAATTAACCTAGTCCCGTTCTACACTCTTCAACAAGCACCATCTTGCACGTGCCAAACAGGAGCAGCTATCAAATTTTAGGGCATAACACAGGCCAAGCTTCCTTCAGCAACTGCTGTTGTCTCCACCGTTTCCTTTGGGACACGAGAAGAATCAGGCCCACCATTCACCACGAGCAGCCTTGTGCAGACCGACTCGTCTAGAAGACACCGCATACCCAGTGCTGCATTACTTATTAAAAGGACCCATAGCTAATAGGGTTAAGAAAAAAAGAGCTTGCAAACAGGGCTGCATCCAGACAAAGTTTGTTTCCACAATTCAAATATTTAAGAAAACTGATTGAAATACATGCCACTTCACAATCCTTTTTTCCTACTTAAAACATAACGAATGAAAGAGAAAGGTCCAATAGGATGTAATTTTTTAATGCAGAGCTGCCGCCTGTGAAGAAATAATCACCAGAAACTTGTTGCTTTGAAGCGTCGTACCTTTCACGATGAGCTCCGCGTAGTTGGACACGCCGGAGCCGCCGTCGGAGCGGATGACGCAGCGGTACTTGCTGATGCTGCGCTGCGAAGTGTCGCCTACGCTCACCGTGGCCGAGAAGCGCCGGTGGTTGACCACTCGGGTCACCATCAACGCTGTGTCCCTGCCATTCCACTGCTGGAAAAGCAGACAACAACAGCACGAGTTAGGAGAACACACTGATGGCTTTTCTGCAGGTAAGTCAGGCTTTGTTAAGCTTCTTAACAGTGTTTAGACCTTCATATTCCCATTGCTGGGCTAAATATGGTACAAATTCTCAATAAAAGCTTGCTAACGGGACCATTCAAACCTAACATGGGCTCTGCATTGTAGGATCTAATGGGTGCAAGTACCCTTGCATATATATTTAAGATTATTCAGGTTTTCCTATGCAATTTTTGAAGCATATTTGGATAGCTGCTGTGATAGACGCACTGGAAAGGCTGGAGAGCGACATCTCCAACCCTGTATTTGTACAGGACACATTTAGGAGCTTAGCTACCATGTGAAAATGCCACAAATAAACAGATTTTGTACACCTGGAAAAACACAAACAAACAGGTTTTGTACACCTGGCAATGGCAGGTGTCAAATTTTGGTTCAGGACCAATTTAAATAAATTAATTGGACAACAGACATGTTTGTGCGCTAAACATGGCTCAAAAAGCTCCTCTCTACCAAGGCCACACTACATTTTCATAACTGAAAATCAGATAGATGAAGAACTGACCATAAATTGATGCTTCTACACAACATAAACACCTGAACTTGCTCAGTTGGTCTAATTTATCAGGAGTTGCAAAGAAAAATAACATTTTGCCATTTTCAATAATCAATCTTTTTGGGTGGCATTTTGAAGGCTATTTTCATTAAATGCTTCAATTTTAAAGAATCGAAAACAAGTTTCCACTAGCAACAACAATAATTTTTCTCTCAAATCTCTGCTTCTCACGGGAAAAGGCCCACACTGCTTCAGGTCAGAACTTTTACACACATCTAGTCATAATTGTGGAAGATTTTATAGAAAGAACTCAAAAAAAAGATAAAGCATAAGGCAAAATGCATCTCCATGGACATTAAAACTACAACATAAGTCAAGAAATTTCAGATAAAAATGGAATTAAGATAACAGCTGTGGTAGCCATACAGTTACAACAACTGTTGGGCCATTTAACATAATGCTAAATGCATTTCTCACCAACTCAAGTATTCTTCCCATTACTACAAGTGGGTTCCTACTACTAATTCTCATCTTTGCTAATTAGTCTCCTAATATTTAGACTCAATTTTTTTCAACTAAAGTTCAGCCACATTTCTAAAATAAAATTTTAAATAATGAGAAAATCCATTAGTTATCTGAATAAATGCCATAGCAATTATGGCAAGGGTCACTCTACTTCAGAAGGTGTTGAAAATTAAGCTTTTTATAGATGCCAAAAATAAAGAAACTGAATTCTGTCCTCAGGGCATCAATGCAAGGAAAGCTGCACGTTTCAGCTCTGCTGTAGTGAAAGAGCTCTAAGCACCTGCTTGTCCAACTAGGGCCTCAATCACATTGTCTGAGCTGTGAATAAAACCTGCTGATTTCCTTCAACTCTCTGAAGTTAATTAAAGCTGCTGAAGTTTGAAGTCTACAACATCTTGGAGGTATGCAGAAAAACAGAGGCTTCTTGTTTGGGGTGTCAACAGTTAAATGGCACAGAAGCTTGGAAGCAGGCAGAGTTCTCATACTTTAAAAGCTTTCAGGAGAGCTTTGTGTGTGGAACAAGGCAGTGTTAACATTCCATATTTCCAAGCACACCAGAGGGTGCCAAAAATCACTTTGCCCTTCACTGGGAAGTACTTTGCTTTTTAGGTTTGCTCATTTTTCCATTTCTAACTTTAGAACTGGAATCCATTCCGAAAGCTTGCTGCCATACCTGCACAACCGGCACGAACCAGTCTTTCGAGCACCAAGAGGGTACCAAGAGGGCAAAAATACAGACCAAAAAAAAAAAAAAAAAGAGGTGGAAGATTTTGCTTCTCTTTCTTGAAGTCTTCGAGTGAATGATCAGAAAGAATGGTCTGATTAACCCAACCAAGGGTAGCTAAAAAGAACAAATCAGGTGGGTACACACTGGCTTTGCCTATTTTGCACCATCCAGGCAGCCCTCCCAGATCCCTCCTGTTACTGTGGGAGGGGTTAGCACCTTCTCTATTTACTACTAAGTGTTTGATTGAAACCTCAGGCACGTGGGCATCTGATTGAAACCATAGTTTTACTGTCACCATCTTCTGTATCTTGTCAACGTGACCTCTGAACAGCCTAAAACAGCTCAAAAAGGATCCCCATGAAGAGACATTGTCCCACCACCCAGTCCTTCCCCACATACTGATTTCTGCTTGGGAAGCGCCCTGGGCTTTACCTGGAGCCAGAGCTTGTCGTGCTGCGACCACTTGCCCCCGGCGATGCACTGGAAGGTGGCGTTCTGCCCCACGTTGACCTCCACGTTCTGCAGCCGCAGGAAATGAGGTGCTTTTCCTACAAGAAAACACCGAGTGACGCCGGAGCGGAGCAAGGTGGGATCAGCTACACGCTCAGCAAGTCGGTAGGGCCACAGCAAGGCCACCCGTGACAAAGCGGGTCAGCAATTAGGGCTGCCCTTTACCCTTAAGGATTCAGCACGGAGCAGAGGGCGACCCAAGGGATCACAGGGAGCTCCAGCACATCCCGAATCCCACATTTACTCTCAGATCACAGTCAGCAGCACAAGCTCTTAGCACTTGCTATAAAGGCTAATTGAGTAATTTATTTTCTTCATAAAACTATGTTTCTATAAAGGTCAAAAAATAATCAAACACTTTAGAGTTTGTCAAGTGTGAAAGGCCCCAAACCATTTCACACAGGGTTGTTTTTTTCCTTTTTTAATTTCTTCATTGTCAAATAAATCCAAGGGTTTTAGATATCAAACCACTATTATTAAATATTAACATCGCTGACATTAGCATATCACTTCTCACTTTAATTTCTTCATTGTCAAATAAATCCGCTGACATTAGCATATCACTTCTCAGTTTATTAATCACTAATATCAGTGTGCCACTGATTTTATATTCAGTACTAAGTTTTAGATCACTGATACTAAAACACTGACATCCCTGATATTAACTAATCATCTGTTCATGCAAGAAAGAGATTAGGGAGCTGTTTTTGAACTAAACCATGGACTCATTCATCTCTGTAAGCAAACTTAGAGGAATGTAACACTGTTACAGCAGTGAATCTGCCCCTTTCAAATGAAATCAGTTCTGCTCTGGGCTTCAGAATAAAGTTTGTGCCCCACTTAAATACTTTTAGTAAGGCACAGAGGAGTCTTGTGAGACTCTAAAGGTCAGACTTTTTCAAATTCATGCTCACCTTTCATATTAAAGGCCTGTGCATATTGAGATTAGGCACCAATAGCATGCATAATTTCTGAGCGCGTATCAACCCCAGCTTCTCTGCTGGAATTAAACAGCTTCAAAAGGACATGGGAATCTGTGTGTGCGCACAAGGCTTGATGTATAGCTTGATATATAGCTCATTAGCTACTGCTTTCATGGCTGTCTACGGGCAAGCACGTTTTCCAGACACGTTCACACGGAATGTCTGTAAGTGGGTGCTGTACCACAGTCGCCAACAACTCTGGCAAACTCTGACCACAGAAACAGAGCAATTATCTGCTACCTAGAGACATTTTCCTTCTCCATCACCATGGCACTAGAGGCATTTTGCTGATACACCATGATCTAGGGAGGCGAAACAGAAATGAGAAAAAGGAAAAATTATTTCAGTCATCTCCAGGGTAAGCAGGAGTTTCACAGTTCCTGGGATTTCAGTTAGGCTACCTGCAAAGAATTAAAAGGGGGCAAAACCTGCCCAAGTCAAGGGAGCACTTGGCTGACATTTGCCTCGAGTGGCTCTTGCTGCCAAACAGCAAATGCAGCTGCAGGAATCAGCCACAAGCAGCATTTGAAAGACTGCCAGGAACGTACGGGGAGAATACCGTATATTCAAACTCATTTCGAACCTGGTTCAAATTTCTATCATCACCCTCACTGTGCATGTTTGAAGAATTTACTTGCAGGCACCACTGGAGGCTGCGAGTGGCAAAACAATGCACAGCCAAGCGGTTACAGGTTGCATCATTGCAGTTAGGAGTTTTTTGAACTGGGAGATCAGTTAAAAAGTAAATAAAGTAAATCCATCAGTAGCATTAACGGGTTTCTGAAGGACGATATGAAGCTTTCTGGTGGATTTGTCCAATAATAATGGCACAGTTGGGAAACTCCTATTCATTCTAGCAGAAAAAAGACAGCTAAAATATTCAGAAGAGACCTGACTGGGCAGAATGCCCCCTTCTCTTTTTAAAAAGTAGTAGAAAGAACATGAAGGACTTCAGTTGATCTTTATGAGCAATGCACTTGGCCTCTGCACAAAAGGCAAAAAGGGAGTTCAACTGACACTGAAACTCCCTGTGAATACTTGGAGAAATGGACTTAAACAGCAGTTTAAATACTTCAATACGCAGGGGTCTAACACTGCATCTTTTCTCCTTTTTAAACCACTTTTCTTGTCCAGGTCTTGCTTGGCTTTATTGGCCCCTCCACCAGTAATGGGATGAGCCAGCACTCATCAGGCTGTGCAACCAAAGCACCAGGTGGGGGATCTGCTTGGATGCTGCCAGTTCGCAACAGCAGCTGGTTAATACTGATTGTAAGTTTTTCTTAATGAAGTAAATGCACCCAGAGGCCCACGAAATGAGCACGTGATAAATGTAATTCAGTTAAACAGCAGTTATCCATATTGCAGTTAGCAGAAACGTCCTGTTAGGCTCGAGCAGAACCATGCCTAGCACACTCAACGGCACCTATTCTTTGAAATTTTGTTTTGCATGAAAACCACTGATCTCACCCCACAGACACGGCCCACGTGATTGACCTGTGCTCAGCAGCTGCCACGGCCTCCCCAAAACCACCAACGGGTGCGACAGGCTGCAACGCTCTGCAACAGGCTTGTGCTGCCTTTCCAAATGGCCCCAGGCTTGCTGCATTGGCAGCATCAAAAGACAAATAAAATCAGGGTACCATCCCAAATTGAATTTGAATACCAAACATGTAATAACTTTAGGACTAAAAGGCATGGGATCATTACAGATTATTCATAAGGACATTCATATATTTGAAGAAGAAAATCAAAAAGCATGTCTGAACTCATTAAAGAACACAAAGGCTCTAAAAATCTCTAGAGGAGACTGCACACTACGTATACAACACACACACTGTGGACACAAACCAAAGCAGCTCAGCCCCAAAGGCTGGCATTTAGGGGGTTTTTAAACACAAAGATCTTGATCAGATGCACAGTGACTAGGGCAGAAAAAAGCCATAGTACTAAATTCTGAACAACATTACGAGCCTGCAATAGTCTCACTCCTGTGCAAGTGCATAGTCCGAATAAGACATTTTAAATCTGCACAGAAGTGCTTAGTGGGCTTAAGTTTTGTTTAAAAAGATCAGAAGCTTTTGGGATCTTTTTATCAAGAGTGTGATTCAGAAATAACAAAACCACCAGAACAGTCTTGCCTTTTGCACACTTGCTGTTACATAGCTATGCAAGGCTGGTTCTCTTAAGAGGGACTCGAGAAGACAGTTTAGAGTTGGCTGAAGTGGGTGAATTGTCCATCTAGACTGCAAATCCTGATATATAACACAGTAACATGCTTAAAAAAAAATACTCACTGCATGGATGGGCAAGAACCCTGACTTCATCCACAGCAATGTACCCTGGATGTCCTTTCAAGGAGACAGATTCAAATATCACCTGAAATACAAAATAAAAAAGGTTTTCTTAAAAAGAGCCAGCCATTTGGCCAGATACCACATCCCTCTCTCATTCCACGGTCAAAATCATTCAAGGCATCTCACCACTAATGCTGAGGGAATACACCTGCCATTCAGCAAAGTAACGAAAGTCGCTGTAGCATTTATTAGGATTAAAGTTATATACTACTTTGATTTGAAGGGGGAAAAAAATACTCCATGGATACACACATATGCATTCAATTCAAACACCAGTGCAAGAACAGTTCGTGGGCAGTCATTTGACATCTTATTCTTAGTATGCTTCAAAAAGCTACAGAAAGCTGTTCCTGAAATAAAATGATCTGAGTTGAGAACTCTGCATGGATTCATTTGGAGGACACTTTGCTTTGCCATGCAAGCCATTGCCGTGCCAGGGAGCAAGTTATGAGCAATAGAAGTCCCTGCATTCCAGCTATTGCACTGGAACAAGATCCTCCCCAAAAATATTAGAATAAAGTAGCTTCTCTGCCCTTCTCTGGATAAATCTAATATGGTTTGAGAAACAATTTTTTAAAAAATGTTTCTGGTCAATGAAAATCTTGCATTAATTTGGGGCTGAATACACAAACAGCACAGGCAAACAAAAAACAACTCTCTTCCATGACTCTGGAAACACACCTGGAAATCTGTCCTAATTTGGAATATCTTGTTGCTAAAAATATACAGACTACTTGAAAAGAATTGAGAAAAAAAGATAAAAGACTAGTCAAGAGTTTATTAAAACTAAATACTGTCAAATAAGCTAAATTATATTCAGGAGAAAGTAGTACTAAATATGGTGTACACAAAGTCTGTTAACTACTTCAAGCCAGCTTTTAGCACTGTTAATTTGCAGCCTGAATTGAAGTTGATAGTCCCTGTCTCTCATTGCTGAGCCTCTTTTTCATGTCCTCCATCAGAACATTAAATACAGTATAATATCCAATGGTCCAAATGCTTATCACTGCGTGCCCAGGTTGCCAGAGCTGTGTGCACTTCATAAGCACAAGCTTTCTGTTAATCATTGCACTTTGCATGTGAGCCTCCAGAACCTAGCTTCTGCTCAAGCTCCCAGAACTTCCTGAGAATTGTTCCTCAAACCCCAAACAGTCCTCCAAGTTATCTAGAAAAACAGGTGGAATACAAAAATAAACACAGAAACTCTGGTAACAAAACCTAAAAAAAAAAATAAAATAAAATAAATCTATGCCAGAGGACAGTGGACATAAATAGACAGCCTAAAAGGTGGAAGAGGGAAGCAAGTCTCTAGAAGAGAAAATAATGATCAGAAAAAAAAAAAAATACTAGTGTCATGAGTGATGAAAGATCCTTGACAGGTTATCTAGAAACTGTATAGACTAATAGTGCAGTGTACATCTATAACACAGAAATTATAATTTTGTAAAAGGAAATGTCATTCATGATACATGTTGTACCTGCTGGGAAGGTCACCTAAGGAACTACTGCAGCTTCCTTCAAACGACGGCACTGCACAATTCCTAGAAGTTAGTTTTGTGCTTGTGAAAAGCTCTAAGCCAGATGCTAAACCCCATCCTCAATTTCCCTCATGCCACTTTCCTCAGAGACCTGGAATTGGGAACAAAAAGCTCTCCGAAACTCTGGCATTAGCTGTGAGCCTTTAATATATTGCAATATACCCCAAGCCGCTGGAGTCACTGCGTCAGGCAATAGAAATCCCCTGCATTTAATCTTCAGGTTGGTGCAGAATCCACATCATGTTGTTTTAACGGAGGGTTTTATCCCTATTCTGAGATCTTCTCTTTATTTCCCAGGGCAAACTTGGGCATCCCTGGCCTGGTTCGCATCATGCAGCAGCTCAACCCCATCAAGGCCAGGAGTATGGGAGCACCCAAGGCTGTGCTGGGGACCAGAACTGAGACCCCGTGAAGAGGAGGTGGCAGAATCCCAGGCTTATGCAAGGCCTGCTACTGCCAACCCAACACTGAACATCTCTCATGTCCTTTAACCTCAGTGGGAGATGAATTATAACAGCTGAGATATAGTGTTTCCCGCCCCTCCATCCTTTTTTCTTTTTTTAAATGGTGCTTTACACTTAAGGAGCTTCTCAGAACACAACACATTGACCAAATGCAAGGCTTTGCTCTTAAGAAGCATTTTAAACGCCCCTGAGAACCGCAAAGCCCAAGTCATTTCATGTCTCCTTGCCAATAAAGAACCTGCTTTTCACAGCTGCTCTGCACCGGCTGTTAGCCCAGCAGCCTGGCTCATCCGCGGTGCAAGTTTTCTTCAGGCACGGATCAATAACACTCCTTACTATACATCAAAAAGCCTCTTCCCGCAGACTGCTGCTGCCCTTACCGCACCCTGGGACTCAGCCCGTCCTTATGGCAAGCAATAATTCCGAATTACACGCATTAACTTCCTCCAAGTACTGGTATGGCTTTGTTTGCTACACTAAAACACATGCAGGCTGGGAATACCAGTATAACTAACTCTAGGGTAGACACGATAAATCTGCACCACGTTCCTAGCTCAGCAGAGCGCTTTGGACCTGCTTGGCGCGCAGGGGCTCCGCACAGACACGCCGGGCCCAAAAGCAGGGCCTGCAGCACGGGGCTGCTCACACGTCCTGCTCGCTCCAACACGTCCCCAAAGCCCAGAGCACTTTCCGGAGCCTCAGCCACACAGCAGCCCCGTCCTGATACCTCATGACAAATCCTTCTGAGACACGATGAGTTCACACCAAGCTCCACGCCAGGGAGTTTGCATGCGCTGAGAGGTGTGTCTGGGTTGTTCTTTAAACAGGCTGAATTACCCAGGAAGAAGGTGCTTTTTCCTCATGTTTCCCTCACATTGCTCCCAGGGCTCTTGGGCACAGTTTGCACTCCGGGCATGCAGCTCTGATATCCAGCTGGCAGACAGCTCTGTCACAGCAAGATCCTCCCGAGTGTCAGCTCGGCTTCACCACACGGTCACCATCATCCTCCCTTCTTTGCGGTGTACCCACTAGGCAGTCACTCAACAGTAATTTTAACAGAGGTCCTTGAAGACCTTTTCCTCTTCACTTCTGTGAGCTTATTTTTGTTTCTTTTCCATTTTCACTAAATGCAGAAATCCACTAGCTTGTGGGCTCACCACAAAGGAACAAAATAGCTTCTTTAATGATTAAGAATACACATACAGACTGAAACATCAGTATCTTAAAAAAAAAAAATGGTTTCTGGGAAGAAGCTACTCCTAGAAAGCTGCTGCTGACCTTCAAACTGTGTAGTTTTGGGCAGCAGCAAAAAAGACTCATTTTATTTAAAAGACTTTTCTTCAGAAACTACAAATCTGACCTGCAAAAGGACTTGCAAGAGCAGCTAAAGCTCAGGAAGCCTACGACAGGTATATCTAAGGGTAGATCTCTTAGCAGGAGATCAGACCAGCTTTTGCAGGCTTCTCAAGCCCTGATTACCAGGGTGAAAGACCAACTTTTCTCTATCTCTTTAGAGATAAAGAAAAGCACCAACTATGAAGATGATTTTGGGTCATGACCAGGTTCACATTAAGGTGAACTCCATGTCAAGAATTTTAATATGATTTCAGAATAAGAGGCAAATCATGCTCAGTCCTCAAAGCCCCTGTCCCTGACTCCAGTGTCTCACAGGTTTGGGCTCTGCTGATAGTCCTGACTCTTTCAAAGGCAGAACATTAAAGTGTTCTGCTTCAACTCAGATTTTGAGAGCTGTTATCCAGTTATTAAAAGGGGAAAAAAATAATACGAAGAAATAAAAAGAAGCTTTTCCACCTGCTGTTGTCTGTCTACAGAACGTTCTCTTTCTTTTCAGAGATTAACCTGTACTAAATTTCTGTTTTGCTAGTGTCCTTTAGTAGTCTCAGATGTGCACCTCCTCTTCTGCAAGGTGTGGGATGCAATTACTTCCTCAGCTTTTTATCTTGGATGAAAAACAAGACAAAAAAATGCCCCAACACTTAACGAGAAGTTACGCGCCACCGTAACTAAAACAACATCTGGAAAGTTGCACCATGAATTTTCAAGTCCTTCCCCATGAGTTGAATAACTACCTAGTGCCTAGGAGAGAGTAAAAAAAGGTGGGGGAAAAAAGGCACACTAAAATACTCAACTTTGTGCTTAGCTAAAATGTGAAACAGTGACATTCTCTAGGGAAAATCGGTGAGAGAACAGTCTGAATGTTTGGTCTGAATACCAAACATGGTATTCAGATTTTGAGAGTCCTTTCTTTGCTTAAACCCCTGCAGTTAACTGCAAATTTACTCCCTGCCGCCCTAAAGAACAACTTTCTCGGACTGCACGAACATTGTTGTCTGAAAGCAAGGTAATCAAACATTAAAACAAAAACCAAGCTACCCCCTAACCAAGTCCTCTATGCAGTTCCAGGTGGCCTTAGGGAGCATCAGCTTTTGCATCTACTCAAGGAATCAAGATTTTGCAGAACCAAACAAGGAGCCTGGGTCTTTCTCAAGATGAACGCGCCTGCTGATGACCACAGATGTTGCCCCTAACAGAACTGAAGTTTTACACAACTACCATTTGCCCTTCTTCCAGGCAAAGACACTCAAGCTCTCGAGTTATCAAGATCATTAATCTTAGCAGAGCCAAAAGACTTCCAGCACCAGGCACGTCTGCCTACTTCCTGTAGTAGGGAATGGGTGAAAGCTCAGAAAATCATGAAAATGCCTGCTTTACCAACCCATGGAGAAATATCTCCTAACAAAACAAGCCCAGCTGTGGTAGAAGCAAGGCTTTAAAAATATATTAAAAACAAAGGGAAAAGAAAAAAAAATCAGGTGAAGATTTTGCTCATTTTGTAAACATAGTACAAGATTTTATTAGTATCTTACATATCCGGTGTGTGCAGCAGGAACCCAGATGCAAAGCTGAATAAACATGTTAAACATTTGTTCTCCTGGAATCAAGAATGGTCCCAAACTAGGTCACACAGGCTCATACGAGGAGGTACAGTTAGACATCTCAACATTCATTTGGAAACTTAAGTTTGCAAAGCGTCATGTTCACATGCCAACTTCAAGACACAAGTTGGTGTTAACTTTTCCAGTAATTTAACACTCTATGACCTAACAGTCTCCCAAGAAAAAAAGCTAAAGAGTGTAAAACATGTAAAAATGTCTAAATCACCTCTTCTTATAAAACTACTGTGTATAAATTCACAAAAGGGGGAAGAGAGATCAGATTTAAACTTGCAGGATATCTATTGCTAACCATAGCTGGGCCTCATAACTAGCCAGACTTTCAAAGGAGTAAGAGTGAGAAGTATTACAAATTCATACCTGATAAAAATGTGGCCAGAACGTACTGATGGCAAGTTCCGCCTTCACCCATCCTTCTGTAACAATCCCTGACACATTCCATATGGGATTGCCCTGCGGTCCACCGTTCACCTTCACATAGACATTCAGAGAGCCAGGACTGGAACGGTCTCTGCTGGATAAGTAATAGTGGAAGTCGATGCAATGTGTGTCGTTCTCCTTCAGCGTAGGCAAAAGCAAGTGGGCTTTCTGCCCAGATGCCCGTCCAGAGCTGTTAACCATCATGAAGGAGCCTATAGACAGCGAAGGGAAAATGGAAAGAGAAGAAAAAGGGGTTTTTGTTTGGCTCTTTCAACAAAAGCAGTTCCATCAAAAACACAAGCGATTCTTCAAAAGCCAGAAAACGAAACATTCTCCTGGAAAACTCAAACTAGCTATTTTATGTTAGTGGTTAGGTAACAAAAAGAAAGGATATTAAAATTACAGGCTTGCAATACAAACAGATTGAGGACCAACTACCACTGCCATAATTATATAATTTAAAAAACAAATAAAAAAAACTGTTTTGCTTGTATCATTTTATAACCTTATAATAAAACAGTCACTCTAAACAGAATCACATCCACAGTTAAAGCAGCAGCTCAGCTCTCCTAGCACATGCCCATGCTCCTCCTTTGCCAGGAGCACATTCCAAGCACCAGACTGGAGCAGCAGCACAAAGCCTCAGCTGCTGGAAGTCTCCATGCAACTACCTACTTGGTGCCAGTCTCCATTTGCCAACCCTGCATCTTGGCTCTATCAGCTTTCGAAAGATGCAATGTGTTAACAAAACCCTAATTTGCAGAATCCAGATGAATTAGACTTGTTAGTGACATCGCAGCCAGAAATAATGCAACAAGGACAATAACACTTCTGGGAGGGAAGGACGGGCTGAATTTACGTAGGGAAATATATACACTGAAGCCACTGATGAGTTTGTTAACCCTGGGGCTTGCATCATATTAACCACGGCGCTGGATGTTGAACTCGTGTTTGGATTCATCAGGCAGTTATTCTACAGCACGTTGCGTCTCGACTCATCTCTTCACAGATGCATCAAGGTGACAAATGTTAGCAATAAGGAAAAACATTATGAGAGTTATTTGATTCACTTCTGTTTAAAGGCGCTACTTTATGTGTGTGCAGACACACAGAGAAAAAGCTGAAGGAAATGCTGAGAGATGGGGGGAAAAAAACTCTGTGTGTCAGCAGCCAGGCATGATAATTTTTAATCAAATGCAGCCCTCTTGACATTTCTCAGTTCTGCTGCTGCCACCAAGTCATGCTACAAACGTGTTTCTCTGCTGGCCTCTTGCAGTTCACAGAAGATTGAGTTTGAAAAGGCTTGCCCTACTCTAACCTATTGACTATCCCTATTCCATGCTGCAGTAGTGCTGCAGACTCTCAGATGAGCCGGATAAAAATCCCAAACAGACACCAGCAACTTTCTCCCACAAAACTGCCCCCCCCCTTTTTTTTTTTTTTTTTTTTGCAGTGTTTACATGATACATCCGCATTTTGTAAAGGACTGTGAAGCTCGGATGCAGCAGAAGGAAGTCGATCTTTCATAAAGAAATCAGACACTCCAGAGACCTCGGAAAACGCAAGCACAATGCAAGCCCAGCTGGGGAAGGGGGTTTACTAAGCTAGATGAAAAGCTACAGGCAAGACGCTCTCGGGCAAGCCTGTCTTTCATCTTGGTGTGTTGAAAATAAAAACAGCACCAAATCAAGAAACTCAGCAAGGACTTTGAGAAACTTAACAGCAGATACAAACTTTGCAATTTCTCACTAATAACCAAAAAGCAAAAGATACAGTTAAGTGTTCCCTTTTGATCAAATTCCACTTCCAATCAATAAACAAAGCACCTTTATTCAACTAAATGAGAGAAGCTTTAACAGACTACTCTATGTGCATATATCCATTATCCCAAATATATATATATATATATATATAGTCAAAGAACCACAGAATGGTTGAGGTTGGAAGGAATCTATAGAGATCATCTAGCCAACCTCTTGCTCCAGCAGGGACACCAGGAGCACATGGCACAGGGTGGCACCCAGGTGGGTTTGGAAGATCTCCAGAGAAGGAGCCTCCACAACCTCTCTGGGCAGCCTGTGCCAGGGCTCTGGCACCCTCACAGGAAAAGTTCTTCCGCACAGGGAGATGGAACTTCCTGTGCTTCAAATTGTACCTGTTACCCCTTGTCCTATCACTGGCCACCACCGAGAAGAGTTTGGCCCCATCCTCCCTACATTCACCCCTCAGGTACTTGTACGTGTTGATCAGATCTCCTCTCACTCAGCCTTCTCCAGGCTGAACAGGCCCAGATCTCAGTCTTTCTTCATACAATAGAGGCTCCAGTCTCTTAATCATCTTCATGGCTCTCTGTTGGACCCTTTCTAGAAGCTCTACGTCCCTCTTGTACTGGGGAGCCCAGAGCTGCACCCAATACTCCTCCTAATGCAGGCCAGGATCCCACTCTTGGCCACGATATATATAATAACCCAAATAAACCAAAAATTTGAGAAATCGAACTACTTCAAGGTACCATGAGAAAGCACAACTGCCAACAGCATGGTGGCCACAGCAGGAGGCTGGATGCCCTTGTTTCTAAGGCTAAACATGTCACACACTTCCATGGTCCTTGACTGTACATGCCGTCTACCTCATTTACCTTTGTAAGTAAAGCAGTTTTACTACTCCCCTTCTAGGGACCTAGGAGGAAAGGCACTACGACAAATGCTGAGTAACAGTAGTAGACTTTTCCCCATGCAGGAGTATAGAATTGCTTTGCAGCGCACTGCCTGCAGCATTTTAATGACACGAGAGAAGTAGCACAATACGGATGAAGACAACTTGTACATCTGCCAGGTCTCAGATTCAAGGATGAGGACAGCCAATTAAATAAGTCAGTAAAGAAAAGCAGAGTTCTGGTTCATCCACACGTTTTTGACCAAGCAACTGAAACAGTGGGAAGGAACTCGAGAAAACTGGTTTCTGCTCTATTGCTGACTGGATCATGGGCAAGCTGTATCGCTTCTGGGCGTCCTTCATCTCTTTTATACTTAGATTATAAAAGGATTTCTACCCTAAAGAGCTACTCTGAAGCTGCACTGTGTCTAACACAATAGGGTCTTGAACCACACTGGGGTAGGCGAGTGTTTCAAGATAAGAAAAGTTAGGGAGTATTTCTCTTTTATAGATTCATGTATAAAAATAATGATTTTTCCTCTGGGAGAAAAACATCAGCTTTATATAAAGTTCAAAGCAATAATTACATTTTTATTTTTTGCCACCCACAAAAAAATGAATCACAAGCTGCTCACAGCTCAACAATGGCCCTTTGTGCAATTGCTGAGCATCTAGAAGAGTCTGGAGCCACCTTCTAGCAACTGGCACAGCAGCAACATGTAAAACACCACTGCTCCAAAAAAAAGCACAGAATAACTACATCAGATTTTTATTTTACTGCAAGAATAATCTTATAAATTTAGTAATTGCCAAATTCTGATTATGCATATTTTCTCAGAATCACAGAATGGCTGAGGTTGCAAAGGACCTCTAGGGATCAGCCAGTCCAACCCCCCTGCTCCAGCAGGGACACCAGGAGCACATGGCACAGGGCGGCATCCAGGCAGCTTTGGAAGATCTCCAGAGAAGGAGACTCCACAGCCTGTTCCAGGGCTCTGGCACTCTCACAGGAAAGCAGCTCTTCCTCACATGGAGATGGAAGTTCCTGTGTTTTAATTTGTACCCATTACTCCTTGTCCTATCACTAGCTACCACCGAGTGTTTTCTTATTTTTATGTTTTTTTTTTCTCCTCTAATATAGTAAGCCCAGAGGAAAAAAACACATCTCTATGATGTCTCCAGGTAAATCTTGGTAATATGCACTATTTTATGCAGGGAAAACATGAGAAATTTCCATTCGTAGCGCCATGTCCAGCGGAGGAAGCCTCTCACACCTTGGTTAAAAAACCACCCATGTTTAAATCTTCTGCCTGTGGCATGTTCCTGACTTCCACAGAGGCTTCACAGAGCAGCTTCCCCAAAAACACCTTCCCTGGCCAGACATGGTGTCCTTGAGGCCACTATCAGCAGTGGGTTTAAACACCCAGGTTTAAACACTATCGCTGATAAAGGATAAAAACACACCTGTTCACAAAATGTAGTTGCCGAGAATAAATCACACCCTGTATGAGACACATAAGCTTCCAAAATAGAAGTTGAACACCTTTATCGTTTTTCTTTTCCCAGCATGAACTCATCGGGAGATCCACCAGGATCACACACTCAAGTCACACAACCAAGAGGCTCCACAGGCCTCGTAGCGGTGGCTTTGAGACCGCAAACATTGTTCTTACTGGGGCGGGGGGAAAGAAAAAGAAGTCAAAAGAAGCCTTTCTTTCCTTATTATCTTGCATAAAAACCTGCCATATTGTGATTCAGAGTTTGACAGCCTTCTTTGGACTGAATGCAAAATTGAACCTGATGAGAGTTATTCTCAATTTATAGGCCTATATGTGCAAATAAAAGAGGTACAATCTGGTCTGGCATCAACAAACCACTTGTCACATTTTTTGCTCCTGTATAAAGGAGCAGGGAATGAATTAACGTGTCACAAATGGAAATTATTGATCGATGCATGACTGAAGGCCTCTTCAATGTCTCCAGGCAGAAATCTGAATAAAACAAAAGGTTATCTTGGAGAAACTCTTCTATTTAGAGCACTACACATTCTATTTTGAATAATAACAACAATAATAATACTAATAATAATCATTAACCTTGTTGATTTGTTTTCCTTCATCTGGAAGGTTTACATGTCATAAAATAGACACTGAACTGAAGAGCTGGGAGGGAGTTACTCATGTCGTATAAATCTGGTCTTTAGATTTATTGCACATAGAGGTATATGCTTGTTAAAGCAGGCGGAATATTAGGCCAGTTTAATTTAGTGCTCCTAGATCAACAGGTTAGATTAATTAATATCCTGCTGGCTCTGCCAGCTTCCTGAAGAACCAAAAATAAACCTGCTATGTTCACATCAGTCAGAAACAAGAAGGAAGGGAAGATGGTAAATAAATTCATTTTTAAAAATCCGTTCAAACGACAGGGAACATAAAATGGCACTCTCTCCTAGTTATTAAACATACCACTGAAAATTGGGGAATTAAACCATGAAGTGCTCTCTAGCTGGCCATAAATTTCAATTTTTCCCCTGCTTGGTGCATAATGATGCCTTGAT